AAACAGCTGAAACCTTCGAGAAAGAACTGTGGCTCTAGAGTCAGAAAGCCCGGGGTGCAGGCCACCGGGAACTTCATAGCTAAGTGGTCTTGGGCAACTCAATCTCTCCGAATGTTATTGCTCACTTGTTGCTTATTCAAACAGCTGCTGTAGGCACGTAAGAATATCTGAATGCAATGGAGTGCTGGGTCAATGTCACGTCCTAATATTATCTGATCATCCTAACCTTGCTGGGCATGGAAAGAATCCATGTCAGGCTCGTTTAAATAATGAGGTTAGATAATGAGTTTCAAAAGATTCCTCAAGAGAGAGCAATGGACCACCCTCCGCAGCCGCCTCCCCGCAAAACCTCCACAGGGCTTGCTGCTGGGGAAGAGCTAACTGGGTGATGGCACACAGTGGGCACACACAGTGCCAGCAGCAAACCCAGGGGCATGTCCTGGACAGTCACTGCACAATGTTCTCTAGTTTCGACCTTCCCAAGATGAGATTCCCCCAAGGAAACACCAAGACCTCCCCCCACAACGTCCTGAGGCGGAATTCCCAGGACAGAACCTGTGGGAACCCAAGGCCTATTGGTTTATCAGGAATTAGGGTTTGGGCCCAACCAGGGTGGCTCAAGGGCTGAGCGTCCATTTATGCACCAGGAAGTCACGGTTCCATTTCCAGTCAGGGCACATGCCCGGATTGCTGGCTCGATCCCCAGTAGGAGGCATGCAGGAGGCAGCCGATCCATGATTCTCTATCATCATGGATGTTCTCTCTCCTTTCTCTCCCCAACTCTCTCTCTCTCAAAATAAATAAAAACATATTTGTAAAAAAAAAGGAATTAGGGTTCAGGACTCTGAATGCCCATCCTCTCCCCTTTCCGGCGACATGACCTCACAGGAGAAGTGACTTCTAAGCGTTGACTATCTTGGCAGTTAAATCGGGGGAATGATTTTTCGTTCTGGTCAGGATTAAACAATGGCATGCGTCTACATCGCTCTGTAGAATGCCCGGATATAGCCACTGCCCAGTAAGCTGTGCGTGTCAGAGCGGAGGCCACTGTTTGCACCTCTGTCAATGGTACCGGGGGGCCCTGAGTGGTGTGGACGTGACCCAGACCCCGTGTGGGTGAGGTGGCCACTTCTCAGAGGGACGAGGGCCACCTGCTCCCCTCCGTGCCAGCAAGATCTCTCCCACGACGGAACCCGTCTTGGGCAGCGTCTCCACTGGAGTCATTTTTTGGGAGTGGGACCCACACGAGGGCGTGGGGCCACTGCTTGGTCAGGAAGGAATTTGGAGCATCCATCTCCCTCACAGCTGGAGGGGGAGGACTCGGGGTTACTAAGGCGCACTGATGAAGCAAGCCCCGCATTTGAATGTTTTTAAATGCCCGCTTATGTAACGTGTAAAGGCGGGGTTTCCTGTGGTGCCGCCTGCCGCCCCCACAGAGTAAAGGCCCCTTGGAAAAGAGGGAGATGACAAACATGCCACTCATCCTCAGCGAGGGTGGGGTGAGTGGGTCTGAGAGCCCACAGGACAGGGCAGGGAGGTGGCACAGGAGGGCAGGGAAACCGTCTCCATTCCACCTTCTCAGTGGCTTTCCTCTTTGGCTCTGAAAACATAAACAAAGCCTGAAAAATGGCCAGACTTCCCTCTGCCAGGACAGCCAGCGCGGGCAGGGCAATGGCACCTGCTGCGGTTGTCGCCGCTCTCCCTCAGCCAGGCCAGCTGCTCCTCTCACCACGGACACCAGTCCTTACTATTTCTTTGAAATATATTTTTATTGATTTCAGAGACGAAGGAAGAGGGAGAAAAAGAGAGAAACATCAGTGATGAGAGAGAATCACTGATTGGCTGTCCCCTACACATCCTACACTGGGGATCGAGGCCACAACCCAGGCCTGTGCCCTTGAATAGGAATTGAACTGTGACCTCCTGGTTCATAGGCTGACGCTCAGCCACTGAGCCACGCCGGCCGGGCAGCCCTTACTAGAGGAAATAACCCAACTCTCAACACTGAGAAGAACTAGTCATTCCTGTCCAGTCTCTCTCTAACGCAAGGAGCCCCTTAGAGGGGAAAACAAAAAAGTACAAGGCTAGATTTTTACCAGCTATAGGGAGAGAGAGATACAGAAAGAGATACAGAGACAGAGATACAGGGTGTCTACAAAGTCTGGAACACAGAGAAAATGTTTCACTTATTCAGGATACTTTTTTTGGATTGACGATGAAATCTATAGCTTCAAATGTAGAGGTATTTCGTGTGCAAGTGTTTGGAAGAAAAAAATCTAGAGTCTACTGCATGAATAGTCACATAAAAATAAAAAATTCCCCAGGTTTCCAGGCTTTCACACATCCATTCTTCCCAAAGGGGTGCCCTTACATGTCCGTCTGATGTGCATTTACAGGGCCCTCCTTTGGGTCTCTCTGGTTTCTGCTCCCAGTGCAGAGGAGCTGCTGGGAACGTGGGGAAACACTGCTCACACACAATGCAGTCAGGTGGCACCTGGCACTGTCAGCTCCCTTCTCCCTGGGGAGGGGCGCACAGGGGCCAAGCTGCCTTTCCGCGCCCTCCGCTATTGGCCGATTTGGGGTCTATAACATGCCTAAGTCGTCTTTCTGAAATGCCGTCTTCTTTATACCAAGACTTATTGGATATTTCCTCAAAATTTTTTCTGGCAGAAAATGCAGCTGGCAGAAGTGCTGCTGCGGATTATATGGATGCCGAGCCTGGGCTGTGTGAATGAATCCAAACCGTGTATGAGCCTGCGGGGGAGAGTGGGGGGGAGGGGGCTGGCGTCCCCACTGGGAAGGGGACCAGCTCCACGTGCTGGGTGAGGGGGTTCATGTTCCTCTGTCATTCAGGTGAGTGAAATTTAAATAGAAATGTCTTCAGGTTGATCTAAAAGAATGGAATGAGCTGAAAGAAAGTGAGCAAAAGGACCATATGATCTTCAACTCCAAATATCCCAGGTATAAGAAGTGTCTGAAACAGACATTAGAGAAACACCACTCTAAACCTGTGTGATTCTCTGAACAGGTGCCAGGAGACCCCTCTGAGCCTCAGCGAGTCCTCTGTTCAGGGGGACGGGGAGCCTGAACACTTCTCTTCCCCGCAGATGACGATGTTCTCAGTCCATTTCCTCCTGCTGGAGTCTGAGGTGGGGATGTTACTCACCTCCCACCTTACGAAATCTAAGCAGCATCTACCTTGCCATGCGGTGAGGTGGTGTCTGCAGGTGTGGTGGTGGAAGAGGGTCACATTTACATGTTCCACACAGTTCTGGAACGGCTCAGCCTCTGTCACCCATCAGTTATGACACCACTGAGTACCACCTGTGTGTGCCAAGGGCACTAACCTTGCCCAGGACTCCCCACCCTTCCCACCTGGCCTCGGTTCAGAAACCTTACTGTGGCCCTCCTCTGACCAATCCTCTCCCGGGGGCGGGGGAGTCTACAGGTCCAAGGGGTCATGCCCCCTTCCTAGACTTGCTCGGGATACCCAGGCCCCCAGATTTCCCTGCCCAAACAGCTCTGAGCCCACGTGCAAGGCCAGCATAGATGCCGCCCACGCCTGCCCTCCTCAAAGTGACAGTACAGCGTACTCGTAGGTCTAGGGATGGCCAAAGGAGACAGCTGGAGAGGGCAAGAGAGGACCCACGCTTGGACGCGTACACAGGTGTCTACACAGAGGGGCACTGGGTTCTCGCTGAGCAAGACAGGGTGGGGGCTGTGAGGAGGGCCAGGTGCCTCCGGATGTACTCTGGCCCTGGGCCCCGATAATGTGAGGGGTAGACCTGTCCACAGGGCCTCAGAATAGATCTGCACCCCTAGAAGGCCCAGGAATTCTGGGAGCCAGGGAGCTGCTCAGGCTGCGCAGCCACGAAAGGGGCTGGTAGCATGACCAAGACAGAAATCCTCACGGCCGCCTGACTGCACGGCTGAACCCTCCTCCACTCTGGCTTCCCGAAGCTTCGGGCCCTCCTTTCTCTCCACTGTTCACTCTCACCTGACCAGAAAGCCCACGGGGAACTACGCTGGCAAAGCTTTGGGTAAGAAGGCGCAAGAATGTATAGGCTTGGTCATGAGCCCTTTCTGAGCTCGCTACTGACCCAGTGGGAATTGGTTAGGCTGGAAGAGGGCGGACATGGGGCAGGCCCGCCGACCGTGTAAGCAAGAACCGTTGGTGCAGGAGAAAGTTCAAGACGTGGGATTCAGATGACAGGCGGCACTGACACACAGTTTTGCTGCTAAAAACTGAGAATAACTACACTACTTTTCCGCAGAATACAAAATGGATGATTAAAATGGTAACAACTATAAAATAGATCCCAATTTACAGTTTCTTCCACGAGCGTGAACTCATTGAACCCTCACAAAGATAGGATCTATGGATACGCTCGATTTACAAGTAAAGAATAAAATAGAGAGGGATCGAGTGACTTGCTCCGACTGACAGAGCCACGTGCAAACAGAGGCATTGAGGGCAAATGGCTCCTTCTCTTGCCATGACTCAATTCTGCGTCATCAAATCAACACTGGTGAGGTGCTCTGCGAGTAACTCTCCACCATGCACACCATCGATCGTGCGTGAGTGTCATCTGTGACGCTTTTGGAGAAAGGCGATTTTGGAAGTTCTCCCACGGGGAGAGACTGGAAGCTGGAGAATTACAGGACAGGGCCAGCCCTCCTTCCAAACTGGGCAGCAGGCTTTGGGGATGGGAAGGAGCAAGGTAGGGGTGAGCCCCGAGCATGGAGGGTGAACGCCACCTAAGAGCGAGGCTTGTCACCGCCTGGGGAAGTCTTTCATGCAACAGCTCCCTTTTCTAAAGAAAAAGCTAGGAAGCTACCGTATTTCACAGAGAATACTATGGTACTTGCCAAACACAACAGCTCCCCAGAATATGAAAAACAATACCATGTGATAAACTTTTGAGTTACAGCTGTTATTTTTCCACGATTTCAATTAAGAAAACACAGTAGAGGTAAAATAAAACGTACATGATAATTACCTTGAGTGTATATGATAGCTCACGTCCAACGAACTCAGGTACAGTATAAATATACGTCTGTGTGTGTGTGTATATATCAAAGTGTCACAGCATCCCTGCAGAAGCAGAAAAGGGCAAGTAATTAGTAGACTATACAATTATATCCATAGGTTTCCTTCTAACTATAAAACTTTAGGTCACCGTTACAAACCAGTAGTTGAACTTGGTGCCAATCGAACTGGGCTGACCCATCAGTTTTGTTGGACCTTCATAGTATCTAAAACAATTTGAGCCCATGTTTAAAACACAGTATCTGTGAAGCGCAATAAAGCGAAGGGTGCCTCTACTGACGGGAGCTACAGGCCATCACTGACCGGCCTGGACCACTGCCCACTCAGTCACCTGGCTGGCTTTCTCGGGCACTTAACTCTGGGATTCCTTGACTTATCGTGTGAATTATGTCTTCCAAGTAACCTGAGTAAAAGTAATCATGGCCGAGCACAGCCTGGTGTGATTACAGTTATATTAAAGCAGATGGTTTTCCAAAGGGCCAGCTGCGACCCGTCAGTGCTGTGGCTGTCAACCCTGGCCCTACATGGGGATTCCTGGGCGGGGTTTTAAGCCACACTCTCCCCGCATCCAGACCAAGTAAATCAGGGTCTCTGAGGGTGCCGGCCTGGCATCGGCACTGTTGTTATTGCTGCTAAACAAACCCACTTACTGAGGTACAGCATACAAATAGCAGAGTAACACATCGTTAAGGTGAACGCACCTATGTTATAACCAGCAGCCAGACCGAGAAAAGGGACCCCAGACCCTGCCTTTGGACCCCTCCCAGTCACTACCCGACCTTCCCCAACTGTCAAACCCTTACTTCTAGCTCCATGCACTAACGCTGTGGCTCTTAAACTTACGGAATCATACCACATGCATCCCTTTGCGCCTGGATTCTTGCTCTCAGCACTTGTGACTGAGGTGCATCCAGGCTGGTGCATGTACCGTAGATGACTCCTTTTCTTTGGTACTTAGTATTCCACCGCATGACTATATCACAACCTATTTTTCCATCCTACTGGGGCGTTTTGAGTTTGGGCCTATAACAAACAATGCTGCTGTCTATGAACATTCTTGAACATGTCTTTTGGTAGACATATGTATGCGTTTCTGTAGGGCATGTACCTAGGAGTGGAAATGCTAGGCCATAAGTATATGTATACTCAGGTTTAACAGACATTGTTGGACTGCTTTCCAAAGCTGTTGCCCCAATTTATGCTCCTACAACAGTTCACGAGAGAGAACGAGAAAGGAGAGAGAGAGAGAGAGAGAGAGAGAGAGAGAGAGAGAAGCACAGAGAAAGACTGAATGCACTGTTTCATGCATGCATTCATTCATTGGTTGATTTCCTATGTGCCCTGACTGGGGACCGAACCTGCCACCTTGGCATATCGGGACGATGCTGTAACCACAGCGCTACCAGGCCAGGGCCTGGCTTTAGTAATTTTTTTTAAAGTTCTCTATTGAATCTTCTTTTCAGCCAGTCTTGAGAACCACTATCAATGGGTCAGAAAAGTCATCCATAGGCCATGACCAGAGATTGTCTACAGTGGAACGAAATAGAAGAGAAAACATCACTATGTATCACGCATTGTTTAGTGAAACTATTTTCTCTGTGAGAGAGAGAGAGAAAAAGAGAGAGAGAGAGAGAGAGAGAGAGAGCGAGTTTGAAGGGGTCTAAAAAGTATTTTCTTGCCATCAATGATAATCAAAAAAATTTTTAAATCCACTGTAATAGTGTAATCAGTGAAACAATTACTTAGGAAAACTCAACGTGCATATGACTTTACAGTCATCATCCAGAAATGCTCTGAGCGAAGCTTTACTCTCCCCCGGCTGGCTGGGGACCAGAATTCCCAGGGAGCAGATCTCGCTGGAAACAAGTCAGGGAAAGCCGCTTACGGCTAATGCGCCAGAAGGAGCTCATTAGGGGACCCTGCCCTCTGACCCACAGTGGAATATGATAATGAGCCCACGATGTGAACACTGTAAGAGAAAACGGTCATCTGCACAACCTGGGATTTGTTCGGCATCAGCAAATTCTAAGTTTGTAAAGTTTTAATCAGATGCTCAACAAGAAAACACTTTTGAGGGCAAGAAATTGAAGCCAATTTAGTATAAAATGATATCAAGTCATCCTCATTACTGAAGAATATGCTCTCAGAATTTTTGCTTGCATTTTGACATGATTACTTTATTGTTCAGCCCGAGTGAGGGCCAATCTAATCAACAAGTACTTATTGACGACCCACTAAAATACATATGTCTGGCAAAGGAGTCAAAATAAAAGAAATAGACCTTGTTTTTGCATATAGTATCTCTAGAGGATAAATGGATTAAGGCATATGACTTTTTCTCCCTAAGTACTTCATTTTAGAACATGGCGATAGTAAATGAAGATGATTTTAAGCCCTTTAATGTAATATTTTATCTCTTCGAATAACCCAAACATAGGCTCCAGTTGTGAACTTTATAATTTTCCCTTTACTGAGAAATGTGCTTGGTGATCATTTCACAATGTATACAAATACCTAATCATCTGTAACATCTGAACGAATATCATGTTATGTCAATTACATCTCGATTAAAAGAAAAAGCTGGAGGACTCCTTCCATGTCTCCCGTTGCCAGGCTGGTGACTCCACGCCACGTGTGTCAGAAGGCGCCGCTGCAGGACGGAAGCAGGCAGCACAGGCTATGACGGGAGAAGAAATAACCCTCCGGTGGACACACACAGAAATAGGTGTCTTTTGGTTTTGTTTTATATTTTGCACATGAATGTGTGTGTATGTGAGTCTGTCTGTAGTGTGTGTGTGTGTGCGTGTGTGCGCGTGTGTATTGTGCGAGCACGCATGCGCGCACCAATCCTAAGCAGAGGTGTTTGGAAACTGTGGTGAAATATCTTAGTTTCCTGGCATTTCCTGAAGATATAATTCAGGAAATAATAAAAAGGAAACTTTCCATTGAATTGGAACTTCTGTAAACCAAGCATCAGCTATGTGTTAAGCCTCCGGTCTGTTCAGTTTACTCTCCTTAAGAACATAGCACAGCCTGGCTGGCTGGTGTGGCTCAGTGGTTGAGGGTCGACCTATGAACCAGGAGGTCACCATTTGATTCCTGGTCAGGGCACATACCCAGGTTGCTGGCTCGGTCCCCAGTAGGGTGTGTGCAGGAGGCAGCTGATCAATGATTCTCATCACTGATGTTTCTAACTCTCTCTCCCTCTCCCTTCCTCTCTAAAATCAATAAATATATATATTTTAAAAGAACATAGCACAGACCCCCTTCCACAGGCTCTCCGGTATCCAGGTGGGCAGAAATGAAGAAAGAATGCTAATGCAAATGAATCAAAAACTTTTAACTTTGTACTGGAGCAGCATATAGACACTTACAGTCTGAGAAACTTTTAAGTCTCATACTTGGGAAAGATGAAATGTGTCTCAAAGTCAAGTTCTTTTCTCAGTAAAGCTATCTTCTGTTTATTAGTGAGCTTTCTCAGACTTTAAGGTCAAATAAGAATGAAATTTGGAAATAAGTTAGCTGTTTTAAAAACACAGCGATTGCTGCAGTCTATATACAAGCATCTGTCCACCATCAGCAGAAAGCCCATGGGGAATTCTGGCTGCTACAGTGTCGAACAAGGTCAAATTCTTAATCTCTCGCTCACCTGCCATTGGAAGTTTTATACCTAAGCCCTAATTTATTTGAATTGGCATTTTAGCTTAGTTTACATTTTCATCATTTAAAATCCTTGCTACAAGACATCATCTTAGGGCAATACATATGGTATGAGCCATAAAATGCTGACACTGACGGTCGCATAGGACTTAGGGGAAAAGTCCTGCTACTTTGGGATGCCTTTCATGGTACCTATTGCTTGGTCTGTCCAGCTTGGACACAAAGGTTCCTTCCATTGTTCTGGGTCCACCAAGTACAGGAAACAACCATCTGGGCTGTGCAAGGCCTAAGGCCAGGGCCGGCGTTTCCAGGAAAGGAAGGTGCGACTGCGCTTGGTGCCGGCAGGAGCTCCCTGGCGCTCCCACCTGCCTCTCTGCCGATCCGCACTTCACCGGGAGCCAGAGGTGGGACAGGCGGCCCACACATCGTCCCTGATGCCAACCCGCCTACTTGCTAAACGTGACTCCAGGCTTTTGGCCAGAAAATAAGCCAACCACGCATGTCTCAAACCCATCTTTATGAAGGTGTGTTATCTCTAGTTCGGTCTTGGCGCTGTAGCCCTGAAGTCAGTGGGGAGCCTGAGACACCCACGGCTACTGTGTGGATGGCCTGCCGGGGGCCTAAGGTAAATAAAAGGTCGCCGCACTATATACTCTCTGTTCCTCCTCGTACGCACACCCACCGGCAATGCTTCTTTGGGGGCCCAGGAAAACTCAGGCGGGGTGTGTGCGTGTGTGTGTGTGTGTGCGTGTGCATGTGTGCGTGCGTGCTGACCTCTAACTCTGCAATACTTCACACAGGACACAGGCTTATGAAGCATCTGATGTTCTTGCTTTCCTGCCTAAGGTTACTCTGCTTTAGGGACCCTCAGCACAGGAGGGTCACGACCCCGGTCCAAAGTTGATCGGCTCCAGCATGAAGGACCCCCATAATGGCAATGGGATTGTCTAAGAAAGTCAGTCCCACTGCGACATAAGGAAGCGCCAACGAATGACCAGAGACGTGAATACAGATGGGAAGTCCACCACTTGTCAGTCACGCGGGAGGTGCTTTGCTTTGATGACTGCCTCCTGCACGCCCCCTACTGGGGATCGAGCCTGCAACCCGGGCATGTGCCCTGACTGGGAATACAACCAGCAACCTCTTGGTTCCTGGGTGGACACTGAGCCACGGAGCCCCATCAGCCAGGCTCGTCTTTCTGTTCTTTGTAACAAACAACCCTGTGCAGTGGACGTTCTAATCATCGCCTTATCAATAAGGAAACAGGTTTGAAGAAATTCTCTGACTTGCCCAGGTCACCGAGTTAACAAGCGGGGGGACTGAAATGTAGATCTCTCTGCCTCTCCTGCCCACATTCTGCCCGCCATACCATATCTGCCCCCAACAGTGAAGCACATCGTAGACTGACTTTTGGCCTTTTGCTCTAAGACACCACGTGAGCGTGTTATCGTGGGTTCAGGGCTGCTCACAGGCCGAGGGCCCCGTGAAGGGCTGATGGCATAGGACAGGAATGCAGAAGGCTCGTTCGCATAGATCTCTGGGTGCCGTGAGGCAGCAGAGTCCTGGCTCCCTCCCTTCCCTGCTCTGCCTGTCAACCTCACTCAGCCCACATTCCTCATCTAGAAACTGCACAATGTGAGTTTTATCTCATTGAATTAAGTGGGAAAATGCACATATGCACAACAATGTGTGTGTGTGTGTGTGTGTGTGAGAGAGAGAGACAGAGAGAGAGAGAGAGAGAGAGAGAGAGAGAGAGAGAATTATTACTAACCCAGAATTCTCTTGAAACTTATGTAAATTAATTGGGTTGCTGTTAGAAAAGGCAGAAATATTTTTAATAGGAAGAGCCTACAATTACCATGCATGAACATATGCCTCTTGCCCCTTAAAGAATGTGTCCCGCCCTGGCCGGTTTGGCTCAGTGGATAGAGCGTTGGCCTGCGGACTGAAAGGTCCCAAGTTTGATTCCGGCCGCTGATCGATGTTTCACTCTTATCGATGTTTCTAACTCTCTCTCCCTCTCCCTTCCTCTCTGTAAAATCAATAAAATATATATATTTTTAAAAAGAATGTGTCCCTTTGGGCGGGAATTCTACGGATGAAATTTTAAGTGGAAACCCCCCTTTTAAAAAAAAGAATTGTAGGGGGGTGGGAGGGGAGAGGAATGAGGAGGTGTCTGAAGCCCAGCCCTCAGTCATGGCACAGAAGAGCCCTGAACGCCATGGGTTCATGAATAAGTTCATCTCCACCACCTAGTGAGTCCCAGGATTTCTTTCCCTTGCGCTGAATAAGGCTCTTTAGGAAATAAAATGGCTTGAAAGAACATCCTTGCTAAACACGTGCTTGGGTGGGAAAAATAAAGTTTTGTTTTGCTTCTCCCCACGAGGCTGGCAGCTTGAGAGCTAATCAGCGGGTGTCTTCTAGAGCGAGCCTGAGCCCTAGCCGGTTTGGAGCAGTGGACAGAACGACACTGCGATTATGACTCTGGACAGGCAGCTTAGGAAAGCTCACCCCCGTGGGGGGAACGGGTCCTGCCTTGTCCCCAACTAAACCATCCCGGACGGTCCGGGCGGCCTGAACATGTTCTCCACAACCCAGGCTTTGCTGGCAGACCAGGCTGTGCTGCTGGGCTCGGCCTCCGGGGATCTCACTCAGGCCATTCTCCCCGTCCGTCCCTTCCGTGAATCAGCCGGTGACACAGGTCCCAAGTAGACGTCTGGAGGCCACACTGACTCTCCCCACCAAAGACGTCTGAAGTACCGCTCACCAAGCAAAGGGAGTCAAACCCCTCTTTTCTGTCTCTCCCAGAAAATCCAGCCAAAACGAGCATTGTGAC